ATCTTAAGTTGAGGCTGCATAGGCCTTGTGGTGCGTGTGATTCAGATTCTATTCAGCTGAACCTCTGGTTACAAAGTGTTCTCGAAGCTACCAGCATGAATTTGACCAGACTGCAGGAGGACAGGAAGACTGGAGTGCCTGGAACAGGTGAGGCTGCAGGTCCCTTATTTTGGCTGCTGGTCCCTTATTTTCAAGGCTGCTGGTCCCTTATTTTCAAATCTGTAAGTTGACAGCTATGCCTCAAACCCTGAGCTAATAAAGCCATTAGAACCCCAAGGGAATCCCCATGGGGTCTTCTTGGGGTCCATGATCACTGCAGATGGTGACAGCAGTCACGAAATTAAAAGATGCCTGTTTCTTGGGAGAGCTTGGCCTCTTGAGGCTGGCACCTCACCCTTAGATTTAGCTGCTTCTCAGGGAAATGAAAATTCAGAGCAACCAGCATCATGGCATTTTGAGCAAGACCCACAGTTAAACTTCCTTGCATGCAGCTTGCCTGGTTTTCCTAGGCAATACAATGACAATGGCTTATCGGAGCACTGTTTTTTTCCATTGCTTCACCTTCAGGTGACCCTTCCACATTGGCTTATCAACAGAGGAATCCATGGCCTAAACCCCCCCCCCCCACCATGCCAAAATCTGTCACGTCAACCGAAAATGAAGGAGCCAGATGAGGAAGTTCAGAAGAAGAGTACTCTTCGGCTGGCTGAGAGAACCATGGAAATGGTGCAATGACGTGACAAATCATGCTACTGGGTGAAGAAAATCATAATTGCTAATACCCTTATAGGATTGTGAGAGGACACTGGGAGTTTTGTCCATTGGTCCCGAGACTCTCATCAGTTCTGGATTAGAATTGCAGGCTTTTGGTTTCAAATAGGGACATCACTCACGGAAGTCTCAGGTGTCAGGTGCAGAGCATAGAGCAATATACAGTCATACCTCGGGTTGAAGTTGCTTCAGGTTGAGTGCTTTCGGGTTGCGCTCCGCGGCAACCCGGATGTAACAGAATGCGTTACTTCTGGTTTCCGCTGCTTGCGCATGCGCAGACGGTCAAAATGACATCACGCGCATGTGCAGAAGCAGCAAATCGTGACCCACGCACATGCAGACAATCAGATGCGGGTTGCATTTGCTTCTGGATGCGAACGGGGCTCCGGAACGGATCCCATTCGTATCCAGAGGTACCACTGTAGTAGGGGAGGGGCAGGAAAAATGCCAGAAAGTGAAGATTGCAGGATTTTTGGAGCCCAGCATAATGAGTGTGGTTTTACTGGTTGTTTGGGCCAGTGCCCCATTCTTGATGCACCCCTTCTCTCTATGGGAAGCTGGAAGTAAAAGGATAACCTCACACCATTAATAAAACACGAGAGATGATCCAATGAGGAACCGTTAGCCTTCACAATATTCTCAGAAGCTGCAGGGATGTTTGCCTTTCATTTCCGTTCTCTCCCCTTGCTTGCTCACTCCCTCCTTTCGTCCCTTTCTTTCTAGAGAATTCCCCCGCCTGTCTGCTTTCACTTCTGTACAAACGGCTTCGCTAAAGGCACTCGGTTCTCCTTCCAGACTCCGGTGCGCCTGCTTGCTTCCGACCCTTGATCTGTGCTTAATGTATCCTCCCAGAGCCTGGCCACTGGGACCGAATTTCAAGGCATATCCATATTAGATTATTGTGATGTTTTTATCTTTCCGTGATTGGGAACCATTCTCTGCAGCCAAAACAGACACTTCTCTGAGGGTGCTGAGTGAATTTTTAGCTCTCCTCCGAGGAGTTAGCTTCAATAAAACATGAGGCCAGTACCAACGCTGAAGGGCTTGAGTGATGTAACATCTCATGCGGTTCATGCATTTCTCTGTAAGTTTACACTAGTGTGAACATTAGCCTTGCCAGCCTGTGTTGCTTTAAGTGAAGGTTTGCACGCAAACATGGCCTCCACAAAAGCTACCTCAGGCTAAAGCACTCCCGTCATCGACAAAATTAAGTATTACACTGGGTCTCTGGTGGGCAACTCGGCTTGTGATTTGACCGTCTCGCATGTTTTATTAATGGTGCGAGATTGTCCTTTTATTTCCAGGTTCCCACAGCAGGTGAGCTTGTCATATCCACTAAAGAAAAACCAGAGCAGATTGCCAGCCACTTGCGTGCACTGTTTCGACAGTTCTTAATTTCTGTTGAGAGGCACGCAATATAAACAAAGTTTTGCTTAAGTGCTGGAACATTTGTCTAAGGTTTGATACACGCAAACCTCCATTTCTGCACCATGAAAACAGACAATTTCCCCTCTTCTGTTAACTCAGTGGGTGCTGAAGATAATTTGGTGCTGTGGTAAGGTTCATCCAAAGCAGCAGCAACGTTAACCTAATACCATGCATAGGATGTTCAGGGCAAATGAGGGTAAAAGTGAGCCTGAGCATGAAATCAGGAAGTCCCTGGTTTGAATCTTGCCTCTTATTGTGAGTTCAGAAGATGACCTTATCCTGGCCACTACCTCTCAGTATAGCCCCCATGTTGATAATAATACTAGCGTACCTTACAGGGCTGTTGTAATCCTATTTGAAGTGTTTAAAATGCTCTAAAATGCCATATAAATGCTAACCATTATTATTAAAAAGAGAGGAGGCGAGTGGCGCTGTGGGTTAAAGCCTAGGACTTGCCAATCAGAAGGTTGGCGGTTCGAATTCCCCCGACGGGGTGAGCTCCCGTTGCTCAGTCCCTGCTCCTGCCAACCTAGCAGTTCGAAAGCATGTCGAAGTGCAAGTAGATAAATAGGTACCACTCTGGCGGGAAGGTAAACACCGTTTCCGTGCACTGCTCTGGTTTTGCCAGAAGCGGCTCAGTCATGCTGGCCACATGACCCAGAAGCTGTATGCCAGCTCCCTCGGCCAATAAAGCGAGATGAGCACCGCAACCCCAGAGTCAGTCATGACTGGACCTAATGGTCAGGGGTCCATTTGCCTTTATCATTAAAAAGTAGGTTTGCCACGAAGAGCCATTCTTTGCAAGGTAAACAATGTTTCGAGTTCTATTTGGCCTGTTTCTGAACGCACTTCTCTTTTTTAACTGGTGGAAGGTTTGCTGCTCCCTCTAGGATTGCCAACTTACATCCTCAGGACTGCATCTTTAACCGATGCATATGCAGTAAGAGAGGCTGTTATTTCTCTGTTCCTCTCCTTATTCCTAGGTCTTGTCACTCAGACGCAGGAAGGGGTAATAAATGCTCAGAACCAATGTACACAACTTTGTCCCCACTCCTGGGCAAAAAAAGGAATCCATATATATATAGGAAAGGAGGAAGAGATAGATAGATAGATATAATAATGGTAAATAGAACCATCTCTTGGATATCACACACTTATCAGGGACACCATGTGACATCTTGTTGTGGGACCTTGAGTGTTCTCTCTCTTTACAGTGTTTTTTTTTTTTAATTAATATTTATTGAAGTTTCACAAAGAATAGAATCACATTGATAAAAAAGAAAAAATTAAAAAGAAAAAAGAAAAATACACAATACAAAATACAAAATACAAAAAGATAAACAGTTAAAAACATTTCCGTTCTTTTCATAACTTCTTTTACATTTACTTGTTTCCCGGACTTCCTCATACCTCCCTCTTTTGTATTCCAATTCAATTTGCTAATCCAGCAATTTCTTTCCCTCCTTTTTAATCCCAATCCTTAATCTTAATATATTGTAACATTAAGTTTTTACCTATTAAAAACCAATTTTTCCATTCTTTTAACCTTTTTAATCCTAATCCTTAATCTTGATATATTTATAACTTTAAAGCCTGTACAGCTAGAAGCCAGTTAACTTCAATCCAACATCACTCTAGCATTCATTAATTTTGCAATATTTCTGTAAATAATCTTTAAATTTCTTCCAATCTTCTTCCACCAACTCTTCTCCCTGGTCACGGATTCTGCCAGTCATTCCCGCCAATTCCATACTCTTTACAGTGTTCAGGCATAAGTGCCAGGAGTACCAGCCATGCGCAAGAAAAAGGCATTGACAGAGAGGGGGGAACCTGACATTTGCAGAAGCATAAACAATCCTTGCAGGATAGGGGGAGACCTCAAAACCATCCAGTGAGGACTGCGTATGTTGAGTGACCAAAAAATCCTGAATGACTGTAGGGTGGCTGGGGATAAAGGAAAGGAAAACTGGGTGGGAGCAGGGATGGGCTTGGGTAAACTTTCATAATATGGTGCCCTGTGCGAGGCCAAAATTTGGCACCTCCAAATGGATCTCCATAATTACGATATAATACGATAATCTTTATTGTCATTGTCCCATACAGAACAACGAAATTGGAAAAAAAAAATACATCAGACATTCAAAAACCAAAAACCAACAATCCCAGCTATCCCAGCCTGGTTAACCCCCTAAAAACTCTGATACCTCATAATTAAATACAATTTAATTTACACTGCGTTTAAAACCAAAATCACACTTGGATAGAAACTGTTTCTCAGGCGGCTAGTCCTAGTCTTTATAACCCTGTACCTTCTTCCAGAAGGCAGAAGCTGAAAGAGATAATTTCTGGGGTGCACACTATCCTGCGCTATCTCTGCAGCTTTCTTATGGCACCTGGAAGCATAGATTTGATCCAAGGTGGGGAGACTGCACCCAATTATTCTCTCCGCAGTCTTTACAACCCTGGACAGCATTGTTTTTCCCCTGACCATGCAGCTCCCAAACCACACACAGAGACCATAAGTTAATACACTCTCAACAGTACAATGGTAAAATGCCTGGTAAAATTCTGGATCTTCTCAATTTTGCACCCCTTCAGCTTGGCACACAGTGGGGGGAACAGCCTTCGTCACCCTAAATCTGGCGCCGGTGGGAGGAGAAATTGAACTGTTAGTGAAGGAAGTAGAGACACGTGGACATAAAAAGAGCAAGGAATAACAGCATCATGGAACTTTAGAGGTGGAATTGGGCCTGAGGGTCATCTAGTCCAACCCTCTGAAATGCGGGAATCCTACCCACAGGAGACTCTGGGTGGACTCAAACCACCAACCTTCTGGTTAACAGCCAGACCCACTGACCTACTGCACCATCTCACTGTCTGAATATATCACACTGAGAAGCTATTTTAAAGAAGACTGAGCATGCCCCGTGGGCACGGAATGCAGAGCGACTGAGTGAGAGGGAAATCAATCAGGTGAGGGGAGAAATGGAATGGAAAATTGTGGCATGGCTGACTGACTAGATAGGAGCATTTGAAGCTGCAACATTTTGTTGCAGGTCCCACTTGCACATCTATTGTTGTTGTTGTTTTTTAGTCGTTTAGTCGTGTCCGACTCTTTGTGACCCCATGAACCATTGCACGCCAGGCACTCCTGTCTTCCACTGCTTCCCACAGCTTGGTCAAACTCATGCTGGTAGCTTTGACAACATTGTCCAACCATCTCGTCCTCTGTCGGTCCCTTCTCCTTGTGCCCTCCATCTTTCCCAACATCAGGGTCTTTTCCAGGGAATCTTCTCTTCTCATGAGGTGGCCAAAGTATTGGAGCCTCAGCTTCACGATCTGTCCTTCCAGTGAGCACTCAGGGCTGATTTCCTTCAGAATGGATAGGTTTGATCTTCCTGCAGTCCATGGGACTCTCAAGAGTCTCCTCCAACACCATAATTCAAAAGCATCAATTCTTCGGCGATCAGCCTTTTTTATGGTCCAGCTCTCACTTCCATACATCTATAAACACAATCAAATTACCAGGAAGTCAATCCTTCTATCAGTCTAAGTGGGAAGGTATCAATTGTAGCTAGCATACTGTCATAGGTGACTGTGGTATTATGTGTTATTTGAGTGCGTATATTCATTATTCTGTGTATGAAATGGATGAGTTGGCAGACCTCCCACTGAGTCTTCAGCACACTCATGAACTGACGCTCAGGCATAAGTTTGTACAGAATGGATTAGATGACAGGTCTCCTGATCAGTTTTCAGCTTCCATATATTATGATCATGCACATTTGTGTGAATTGATTATATACATCACAAGATTAGATTCTGTAAGTGGTGATAGTGTATTTTATTTTTACAGTTCTTATGACTGCCATTTTCTTCTTATCAAGATTTGATCCTGAGATATTGATTGTGATTTAATGTAGTTATAATCCTATCTACGGGGTGCTTTTTTTGGTTCTGTTCTGTGCACGCTGCTTTCAGAAAAGGCACCATTGAAAAATGTATTGGAAAATATGAGCTGTGAGATTTCATGCGGCTGTTTTCTAAAAGAGATCTTGATGGACCAATAGTTCCATCATATAAATAAATAATAATAATAATAAAAAAATTAAGGAGTAGTTTGACAGCACTTTCCCATGGGGCCATTGGGTAAAATTAGCAAACTCAAACCCAGTGACTTTTTCTGTTCAAGAAGTAGTCTCAACGGAATATTAATTGCAATGCTAATTAGGGTGATGCAGCCATAGCAAGTCTAAATGCTACCACTGAAGACATAATGGTTGTATCTTGCTAGCAGCCTTCGAAAAGTGACATATTTTTAGATCTCTCTCCCCCCACCCCCGCCCAACCGCTAGAGCTGCCCAACAAGAATAATTAAACTTGGGAATGATAATGAGAGGGTGGGGGACGGAGAAGGGATAAAGCTGTTGCTTTTACAGTCTGAAAACCTATCTACAAGACAAACCAAGGTTCCAGGCTCCGTGTCCAGCTGAGGATTTCCAATGCACTGACTTCACTGCGATTCAATAACTTGTAACATGCTAATTTGCTGGTCAAATTCCACCAAGTTCTAGTGTGATCAAAAACAGCACCTAGAAGGGTAACAGAAAGCTGGAGTGAATCCCCTGCGTATTTCTGGAGGCGGTACCCTCCCTTGGCTCCAGGCTTTTGAAGCATCCTTCTCCTTCATGCCTCTGGGTACCAATCCTTGTCCCCAGCTTCTGGTACGCAATGAGATATCGTCTTTGAGAATCGAGGTTCCCCTTAGTTATCAGTGGCTGTTGGAGGAATCCTGTGCCTTCCTCATTGGAAGTAAGTCCTGCTATGTTCACAGGGGTTTACTCCCAAGTAAGCACGTGCATTGTTTTCCCAGTAGTGATGTATGGAAGTGAGAGCTGGAATGCAATGCTCCAACAATTTACTCCAAAGGTCAAAGGAAATAATTGCCTCTCCGGTTCTCCGGTAAAGAAGGCTGATCGCCGAAGAATTGATGGTTTTGAATTCTGGTGCTGGAGGAGACTCTTGAGAGTCCCATGGACTGCAAGAAGATCAAACCTATCCATTCTGAAGGAAATCAGCCCTGAGTGCTCACTGGAAGGACAGATCGTGAAGCTGAGACTCCAATACTTTGGCCACCTCATGAGAAGAGAGGACTCCCTGGAAAAGAACCTGATGTTGGGAAAGATGGAGGGCACAAGGAAAAGGGGATGACAGAGGATGAGATGAATGGACAGTGTTCTTGAAGCTACGAACATGAGCTTGACCAAACTGTGGGAGGCAGTGGAAGACAGGAGTGCTTGGCGTGCTCTGGTCCATGGAGTCACGAAGAGTCAGACACAACTAAACGACTAAACAACAACAACAACAACAACAACAACAAAGCACGTGCAGGATTGTGCTGCTTTTCTCCATAATTTTGTCTCTTCCATTTATAAACACTTTTCTTTGCACAGTACTAAGGAGGGAAAACATGTACATGTGCCAAACATGGCGAGCGCTAGGCCATTGCCACCTGTGTAGGGGGAGGACATAGGCCAGTGGTAGAAGCATGTGCCGATCAGAAGGTCGGCGGTTCGAATCCCCGCGACTGGGTGAGCTCCTGTTGCTCGGTCCCTGCTCCTGCCCACCTAGCAGTTCGAAAGCTCGTCAAAGGTGCAGCGGGTCCAGCGGGAAGGTAAATGGCGTTTCCATGTGCTGCTCTGGTTCTCCAGAAGCGGCTTAGTCATGCTGGCCACATGACCTGGAAGCTGTACGCCAGCTCCCTCGGCCAATAAAGCGAGATGAGCGCCACAATCTCACAGTTGGTCACGACTGGACCTAATGGTCAGGGGTCCCTTTACCTTTACGGCAGGCACGTCCAACAGGTATATTGTGATCTACTGGGAGAACACTGGACATCTGCAGTAGATTACTGCCAGTTCTTAACACTGTGAGTAGATCACAGTCTCTTTAAGAATTGTCCTCCCCTGAACTACAAGTTTGATCTCCATTTCACATGTACACCTGCCAAACCAGGACTCCCCCTTCCCATACTTTAATTTTTTTGCCGTAAATACAAAACTTTGCTTAGGCTGTCCAAGCCCATTTTGAGCCATTCTGGCTCCATTGACCTTCACTACATGGTCACAGCACCGTCTCATGGACTTCCACGTGACTTTCTCTCAGTTTGGAACAAAAGAAGGTTGCCTTATTCTGAGGAAGGCCATTGGCACATTTAGCTCACTATTGTAGAATACTACTGTATACAGATAAGTAAAGAATGTTTGAGGTATATTTTACAGCAAACCTAGGTGGTGTTTTGTTTTGTTTTTAAAGTTAGGCAGCTATTTCTCTCTACACAAGGCAGCTACTTGGGTTAGCATCCCCTAACCTTACTCAATCTCTCCTTTGGTCCAGTGGCTGAGTAAGGGCAATGGAGTTCAAAGCTTTCTGTGTTTCTTGAATCTGGGGTGGGGGGAAACAGGGCAGTGCATTTTGGGCCAAGAAAAGGTTAAAACACACCAGATTGTGGTATAATTATCAAATTACAGCATCTAATTTGTAGTTCTAACTTGCTAATTATGTGTGACAAATGTGTGGCCAAGGGTGAATTGTGAGTGAACGAATCCAGTCTTTTGTCTTTGAAAATTCAATGTGATATTTAAATGGAACAAAAAACAACAACAATCTGCCAAATAATATTGTCTCCTTTTTTATAGATTAAATATGCATTGAAAAAGAACGGCTATTCTTTACCCAGAGAAAAATAAAGTTTTGGAATCATTCTCTTTGGAAAAGATCATAGGCCTCTTTGAGTCCATGTAGCTTGCCCTTTGTATTGTTCCAACCCTCTCTGCTGTGACTGGTTGTTGCACTTTCCTGCCTCTATATGGGTTCTGTTGAAATTCTGGAATCCAACACCCAAAATGGGGGCATGTATTCGTTGGTGAGAGAAAGCCACTTCCGAGCTGGAGAGGAGGTGGGGTTGCGGGGCCTACGCCCTCCCCACATGCACGGGGGCTAAATCACAGCCCGCGCGAGACTGGAGGATTCCTCGGACACGTCACCTCCCTGGCCAACCAATCGGCCAATCAGCTGGCCAGGGAGGCGTGGCCTATTTAGGCCGGCTTGGCCGAAGATTTCCCTCTCTTCTTCGCTCCAGCTGCTCCAGTTTCCCACCCCACCCGCCCTTAGGTTTGGCTCTCTGACATTGCTATGGACTTCGGTTGGTCGCGGTCAAGGGGCCTGGTAGGAATTTTTTCCACTTGGCAAATTGGCACCAGCCATTTGGTTTTTCACCTACCTCGTAGCAAATCATCACAACTTCCTCGGCATTGGCAGTTAGGCATTGGTAAAGGTATTGTTATGCAAATTGGGGGGGGAGGAAGCGCCATCACCTTCCCCCAAATCGAAGGGGAGTCCGGTAAAGGATTCTGGGGGGGCGTTGCCCTGTCCAAAGCCTATGGAGGTGTGGGCCTAAGGCACGCCCCCGAGCAGTGACCCCAGGGGAGCTCCTAGTTGATGTACATCAGCAGGACTCCCCCTGCTGGTGGTTAACCCTTGCCAGTCTTCAAGCAATCAGGCTGAAGCCGGTTAGTCAATAGGACCAATGCCTAAGCCAATACCGCTCAATTCCTGCAATCAGTAAAGTTGTGGCCTTTTTTCGCCCATTAACCTTAAAATGCTGTATCTTGTGTCTTTATTTTCCAAGGGGGGAGGCGGGTACTCGCCACGCAACACCAGTGGAGATTCAACATGGCAAAACATGCAGCAAAGAAAAGCATGGAAATAGAGGCTGTGAAACCTTAAAAATGTGCCCTTCCAGTGAGTCCCAGCATGTCCTCTTTTAAAAGCTCTTTCCAAGCTATCTCACTTCCCTAACATAGAACTATACAACCC